TGTGGAAGATCTTAACTTCCTCAGGCTATTTTTAGTTAACTACGGATTCATCACTTGATTTTTCTTTCATGTGTTGTGCCATCACACGTACATTATAATTTCTATTTGTGTAAATATATGGTTAGGAAATTCCACTATATAAGTGAATAAGTTGATTCATACAATTACTCCAAAACAGAGATATCTATTTGTTAACTCGGTCTTCTGATTAAGCACTCGGTAAGAAGTAGTTAGAGAACTAATAAGCGTCAAGGTCTCGGTCATTATTGACTGGTCACTGTGCCAATGGTAAGACGGAAGTTTATCAGTCCTACTGCAGATGGCACAGAACAGAATTAAACATTACGAAACTAAATAACCAATAGTGGTGATCATGAAGAATACAGATTACAGACCCATAACTGACTTAAAGATGTAAAAGCTTAGGAATATAAAATGTATATATAAACAATACTATTTGGAGTTATTTTCAACATTAAGATTGATAAGGTAGAACACACTACTTATCGATAAAAGTAGTTCAAAATCATTTGAATTTAACATCAGCTTTACATGATTATCTCAAAATTCAAGAACTAAACATCGTTTACGCTTAGTCAATTAGGATATTTTATTGTTTCCAGCCCAGATATATCCGTAATATTGCTTAGTATGTTGTAAATATATTATTTTGAATGGAAAGAAAATGATCTTATTATTATGTGTCCCATATGCTCAAGATATCACTTTTCTACTGACAAAAAAACTGATGTAATGGGCTGCAATATATATGAAAAGAATGTTATGAGGCTAAGACTAGTCGTAAACAATTGCGAATGGAAATGTATGACTGCTAATCACTGTCTAGAAACGTTTTAAACATTTTTTGGATACTCACCAGTTAAACCTCTATAAAACAAGTTGCTGGAACACTGCACAGTTCAAGTTAAGAATTCTTTATTAATCAAACACATGGCAGTGAATTAAGTGGTTATCATTATCATACGATTCAATAATCAAGAAACAAGTACAGTACTGTTGAATAAAAGTTTCACAATAAAATTATAAAGCCAGTGTAAAATTGCTAGTCTATATCATATACCTGTAAATAGTTGTAATACGTAACTAAACCATTGTTACACAAGAAGTAACATGTATAGTTAATCTTTGACCAGTCTTCCAACCAAAAAGTGAATGGTAACAGACCTCAGCGGACAAGTTAGATAATTTTATTTAAGTAAGATTATTTTAACAGGTATTTTTCTTGATTAGAACACTTCGTATAACGATAAATAAATTTCATTATTTCCTTTATTATTACAACTCTTGTTAAAACTTAATGTAACTTCAACGTATATTGTTAATTCGAGTAAAGTTGTCTGATCACTTTAATGGTAGCATTAAACATATGAATTACTTGATATTTAAGTAAACTTTTGAGAACATTAATTTATTATTGTCTAAGATTAAAAGTGAAATAATAAGGCTAACAAAAACAACGTGATTCAAAAAAGTAATAGTAAATATATGTTTTAAATATGTTGTAATATTCTTGACTAGTTAAAAGAATATATTTTCAGCAGTAACATTCATATCACCATTAGTTTAGTGTCACATTGTAAGGTCAAAATGACATGAGTTTGCAAATGTAAAATTAATTTCAATAAAATCTTATATTTGAAAATATGTGAATCAGTGGGGGAATTATATTAGTCACTTAATCAATACGGATGAGTCAAGCCATGTAGTCTATCTACTCAATTACAAACCAAACCATTAACTCGGTTTCTGCAAAACTACAAACATTTTCCACATAAGTTATGTTATCAGTCAAGGCTAACTTAGATAATTTAATTGCCACCAAATGCTCTGGTACGGCCGAAGTGGGGAAATTCGGTTCTTCCTCTCGAAATGCTCTCACATGACCACGTGCATATAACTACTGCCAGGGAAGTCCTACTCTGCCTCCTCGTGGCGGGGCTGTTGCTCACAAAATTGAAAGGACGAAAGCGAATATCCAGCTCTTTAACCGGATTGGTGACACGAGAGTTCACCTAGGGGAGTTGGAAAACCCTGATTCCAAACCAATGGTGCACATAGGCTCCAGTATCCTGAAGGAACAAATGACGTAGGAACCTATTGTTGGTCACTGGCTACCATGGGATTGCATCTCCTGACATTGCTCCACTGCCTTGTGGATCAGACCGTTAGGTCGAAGGCTCCGGGTGTGGCCCCTAAGAGAACCATCTGCTTCGGTTTGGGCACCCGAGCAGTATCACAGCCCTCGCACAAACCAAATGAGATTTGTGTGACGCACATATATTTGGTGCCTCCTTGTACCAATATCTATGTGTTCAAATAAAATAATAAATAAGAAGACGTTTTAAGTGATATCGCAGCCAGAACCACTTCACTCATTTTGATTGCTAGCTGATATCACTGGCCAGTAACTAGTATCGTGCTTCACTTCATAGTAAAATCTGACAACCTAGCTTAGAGATTCAGTGCGTCATTACATTAAACTTGATGTAGAGTGATATGAAACAATTTTCAAGATGCTTTATAACAAACAGTCTAGAATCAATTTCTGTAACCGTGAAGATAGACAAAGATGGCTTAGATTCAACAAGCATATATTGGGAAATAAGTTGTCCACTATTTGCGTGGAACTTGAACCATTCACAAATTTGAGGGACCAATCAAAAAAGGATTATAGAGCTTTAACTTGATACATATGGCTGAACTAAACTGAAGCCTATCAAACTACAACCTGATTTATTTGAATTCTGGCCGATCTGCCAAACTTGATTATCAATTGTAATATGTAGTCATAATACTGTTAGTTATGTTTCACAATAGGTGGAAACACAGCCTTTAATACTGAAAACAGGAGTAAAGAATTGTTGTTGATTGAATAGAGATCTTATCACGACCAATAAGCATTAAAAAATCTATACACTATAACTTGGGATACATCTAAATATCTAAGATATGGTTCAAGCAGAATATGACATGAGCATAAATTTCTAACTCTCCGGATTTGCATGGCAAAATAAACAATTAATTTACATCCACAGTCCACAGATTATGTATCTTTAACGCTGATCAAACATCAGAATAAAACGGGAGTTAAACAATAGTCATTTCATCATTTTAACAACACCAAAAAGCGTAATATATCAAATAGCATTCCACAGTTAACATTCTTAATACAATTTACGCTTATTCTTATAAAAACCTTCTTATGGTTACTCATTGAAATAACTTAAGAATGGCAGTGAGTGAGCTAAAAAACGCTAACCAGGATAAACAAATTAAACTCTGCACTGGGAGTTAAAGTGAGAATTATGATGCCTCATGGCGAAAACCGATATTCTTAGGAAGTCACGAGGCCAATATCTTTTCTAATAACCAGAGTAACCAGTAATATAAGTACAAGGGATGTCCTGACAATGTGAGAGACCGAAAAAGCTAGTCAAATAGCTGAGAATATGAGGAGGCACAACTTGGCACTGCTCTTAATAAGTGAAGCACATTGGACCCAAGCTGGACACAGAAGATTGGGCCCAGGAGAGGAGCTGTTGTTTCTTGGTAATCAAGAAAAAGTGCTTCACATATACAAAGGGTACAATGATGCTGTCCAAAGAAGCACGACAAACACTTACAGGATGGGGATCTCAAAGATCCAGAATTATCAGTGTTCTTCAAAACGAAGAACAAGGAGGCTAAAACGTATATTATCCAGTATTACCTGTCTACCAATGATAAAAATGAGGACAATCAATATCAGTTTCACTAAAGGCTACAATCGATCATAGCGAACTGTTCAGGAAAGGACCTGACCATCCTGATCGGAGACCTAAACGCCAAATTCGGAATGGACAACATCGGGTATGAAGATATCATAGGACGATAATGGACTAGGAGAAAGAAACGAGGATGGTGAGAGGTTTGCAGATCTATGTGCATTCAACAAATTGGCTATAAGCGGCACAATATTCCCACACAAACGCATACACAAAGCTACATGAGTCTCACCGGATCACACCACGGAGAACCAGATAGATCATATTTGTATCAATAAAAAATTCAGAAAAACAATAAAAGACATGAGAACCAGGAGAGGAGCTGACATAGCTTCAGATCACCACCTGGTTGTGGCCAAGATTAAGCTGAAGTTAAAGAAACACTGGTCAACTGGACAAACAGCATTACAAAGGTTCAATACAGCTTTCCTATGAGATACTAACAAACTCAAACAATTCAAGTTCGCTCTAAACAACAGGTTTCAAGCCTTACAAGATCTACTCAAAGGAGAAGAAACTACTATGAGGAACAACTGAAAACGGATTGAAGAAGCACTAACTTCAACGTGTCATGAGGTGTTGGGTCACAACAAGCAACATCACAAGGAATAGATCTCCATCCAAACCCTGAACAAAATTCAACAAAGGAAGAACAAGGAGATGGCAGTCAACAACAGCCGAACAGAAACAAATAAAGTCAAGGCACAAACTGAATACACAGAAGCAGAAAAGCAAATGAATTGGAGCATTAAAGCTCACAAGCAAAAATACGTGGAAGAACTAGCAAAGACTGCAAAAAGAGCTTCGAGGAAATATGAGACAACTGTATGACTCAAGAAGAAAGTGGCAGGGAAATATGGTAAGCCAGAGAAACCGGTCAATAATAAAAGAGGCAAGCCAATCACTGGAATTCAAGGAGAGATCGATTATAACTTTGGATAAAGCTTGAATAAACTAGCCCCATTGAGTCCACCAGACATAGAAGCAGCACTTTGTTTTGCATATAAAGTATTCGTGATTCCCAGTAAGTTTAAATTGAAAAAAAAAGTTTCGGAGTTAAAAATTCTCTTCTCAATTCTTGGATATTTATATCAAATGACGAAATACCCCTTAAAAGACTCGGTACTCATTATTCATGGTATTAAGTATACATACATTTATATAAGTAGGATAAATCGTATGTTATTGCAGTAAGTATAAACAGTTTTAAATTACCGGTGAGTAGGAGCCTTTCCTCTGGTTTCCCACAAGAAACATTAACAACCGTGTCGAACAGATATGCGCGACCTTGACTTCCTTGAAATGACTTGGAAATAAGATCTTGATGACGAGCAAGGTGAGCACGACAATGTACACAGCTGTATGTACGGTCATCACTATCGCTACTGTTACTACAACTACTGTTGCTGCTGTTGCTTCGTGTTGAGCTGTTTCCTTGTGCTCCTAAGTAGACTTGAAATGTCTTTACCATGACAGTGGTCTGGTGAGAAAAATCACGAAAAAACCGTTTGTGATTAAATAAAGGAAAGAGGTCTTTGGAGATGTACAGAAATTATGCGCACAGAAGAATCTGAGTTAACATTTACGATTACATACATAGTCTAGTTCATATCCTAGAGCTGCTAAAAATGAATAGCTAGGTTCGAAAGTTGAATGAACAGCAGACGTCAGTACTTTCCCAGTTTATAATTTAAGCACATACTAATCATGTTATTTTGTGATTGCGCAAAGCAAATAAACTGAGTTTCTTCTTGAATCAATAAATAGATGATAGATCTGAACTGTGATGTAATCAGCTTAAAAAACCACAGGGTATTAAAAGACTTTAGTCGCGTCATCGCACAAGCGCTTCAAAGCACTAAATATGCAGGTGGTGCTACAAAAGCCCATATTATAAGACAACTTTGCTTTTAGAACCCTATCACCTTTTGATGAGTATGTCACTGATGTACGGTACATTAAATCTCATTACTAAAACACACATACAAGTTCCTTAATCTTTTAGCTTAAGTGGCTCCAGTGCCACGGATGGTGTAATCTCGCGAAACTCGAATCTTTTGCAAATTTTCTTTGATATTAGATGAAAATAACATCCCAGAATAATATGGATTATAGCCAAATATCGTTTATTGACAATGGTTCTACCTATATCATCAGTACACAATATCGATCTACCTTAGGTTCTTGAGCTTATACAATATAGAAATGATCGCTTAACCTAAATAATACAAAGTATTAGCAAACTCAATATGTACAGCCAGCATTCTGAGTTTTAAAAGTGCTATATATGAACAACATGATATCCACCTTAAACCTGTGATAAATTGGCCAGTAACAATGGCTCATTGGTTATAGCGTCGACTTATAAGTCGACGAAGTGATCAAAATGAATTTTACCGCAGAGATTTTTCCGATATTTAATACTCTCAAACATTGAGGACCCCGAAATCGGATAACAAAACATGTCGTTTTATACAATTACTGGATATATCGCCCTATAAAAGATGGGGTTATATTGTGCCAAGAATAATGGAGATATAATCATCAATTATAGAGCAATAATTTGTGGAACGACAAATCCGTCATAAGATTTTACCTAAATAACGAATGTTATGAGGGTAAAGTATAGTTAATTGAAATAAGTAAGCCGATAACTCTTCAGACATTTGAAAAAGTTTATAAACAGTGTTTAAAACCTTTTGATTTCGCAAATTGAAATACTCTAAGCAGACTAGCGTCTGATTTAAATAGCTAGGTCGGTACGTACAGTTAACAAGATTAATACAAAGTTGTAATACGATGAGAATATGCGTAGCCATCCCGTAAGAAGTCGAGTTATTCCCAAAAAACTTTACTAGAAAAAGAGAAGCATAGTTGAGAAAAACCGAAGAATGTATCCGAATACACAGTCATTTACATCTATACCCACCTAACAGCGCGTTATCTAAAAAGGACAGTGGTATTGTTTCTCGTTAAATTTTTAAACTGTTTTGATCGTAAATTACGTATCAAAACTACGATTTACACTTTAATTGAATCTACTCCAGTTAAGGTGATATTTTACTGAGTTTTTTTGGCTTTTGTGTATTTATCACATTCGAAAGCATTCTTGGTCTGTATCAAAGTACTTTAGTTAAGGTTTGACATCTTGCTAGAGTTTGTCTTGTGGTCCATACTGTGATCATATTGTGTATTACACCTAAATCAGACTAAAATGGTTGGTAGTACCCACAAATGTGGACAACCAAACTGTTTGTTCCCTGTGGAGGAGGGAATGCAGTGTGACGAATGCAATAAATGGTTCCACAAAATGTGCACCCGTTTAAGTCCTATTGCATATAAAAGATGTTCGAAGCCTAACTCACATTGGCTTTGCATGTTTTGCTGTGCCAACAAGGCATTGCTAATACAGGAGGCTATGAGCCTATTGGCTTTGGCCTGTAAGAAGAATGATGGCATATGCACCGACAACACGGGCACTGACAGTGACGAATGTGTCAGTGTTGTTACGCGACGCCTCAAAAAACCGACTGTGACCGACGTAAAAGTGAAATCTTCGTTGATATTAACAGGGGGAGTAGTACCACCTAGTACTGACATTGTTAATAATGCACCTTTAGTAGGAACCTTAGATCTGGATAAAACAGTCACCACTCCAAATAGTCCCAGTGTTATGAGGGATGAAAAATGGATTACGGTACGTAGGAAACGAAACGAAAAGAAAAAAGCTGTAAGCAGTACACAGGCAGTTAGTAACTCACTGGTGGACTCAAATTGTGAGCCACAAATTGCACTACCAAGATCTGATCGTAAGAGTGAAACCCATCCTGGCGTAACTGAGAAGAAAAATCTAATAACATCGAATATTATTGTGAGCAAATTGCGGGAGTCAAATGACCCTGATCCGAAAATTAGACACGCGCATGACTTAGAAAAGCTAGGAGAATACATTCGTAGTATTTTACCAGATAACTCCAAAGGAGTTCAGGTTAAAAAGTTGGTAAGAATAGGCAAGAGGACCGAGGACAATGTTGAACCCCGTCCATGTAGACTCCTTAAGGTAATCCTAGGATCGGAGAAGCAACGGGATCTCTTGTTAAGTAGCGCTCGTTGTCACGACAATTCTGACATCCGAGTTAGACCTGACATATCTCTCGAAGATAGAATAAAAAGGAAGAAAGCACTAGCTGAGCTTGAAACCCGTCGGCAAAACGGCGAGGAAAATCTCCGGCTAGTGGGTTTTCGGATAGTCAGGTCTTGGAAGCGAATGCTACCAAGGCCTGTGTGGATAGGCTGTTCTACTTAGGAGTTTTATATGCCAACGCTCGTAGTCTACGAAATAAGTTCTATGAACTAGAAGCACTAGTGGACAGGTTAAAGCCACTCATAGTAGCAGTGACAGAAACTTGGTTAGTCGATGACTTAGACATTACTCCAGAATTATCCGGATACCATTGCATCAGGAGTGATAGACATAGATGTAGGAAAGGAGGCGGGGTCCTGTTATACATAGCCAATAGCATAAATATCCGCTCCTCTATTAGCGAATCCCATGATAGCGGCACTTGTGAAGTCATTAGCTGTAAGTTGGCTATAGGATGTAGTACATTTATGCTAGGTGTCATCTATCGGAGCCCAATCTGCCTAGCTGATGACTTTGTTTTAGAGCACATTCATCTTTGGAGTGAAAATACCAGATGTTTGATAATAGGAGACTTTAACGCACCTGATATTAGTTGGACTGATATGACCACAGAAGGATCTATAAACTCCTTTGATAGTAAGTTCCTGATGACAATAATGGAGCATGCACTAGTACAGCATGTATCCCAACCCACACGTTTTGGTGTTAACCAGGGTTCTTCTCTGTTGGATTTGGTAATCACTCATGAGACTGAGGATATTGTCGACTTTAATATTCTCCCGCCGTTAGTGAACAGCGATCACGCTGTTTTGTCATTCACGTTTCGAACTAGGGACATGTTATACGATCAGGTTACACCTCGCCCAAATGTATGGAAAGCTAACATATCAGCCATTCAGGAATGTGCTGCTAAGACAGATTGGTTAGTAGATACTAGCATATCAGTTGAAGAAGCATGGTCTGTATTTAAAGGTAAATTTAGACTAGTTACGTCCCCGTTCATACCATACCTGGTACCGCGAAGACCGAATAATAGTCCACCATGGATAACTAAAACGGTCAGGAAACTCCTTAGAAAAAGGAAGAATCACTGGGATATGTTCATCTCTACTGGCTTAGAACAATACAGATCCAGTTACTGTAAGATAAGGAATGCCTGTAAAGCGTTAATAAGTAAAACTAGACTATCATACGAAAAACAGTTGGTTAGGGATTCTAGATATAGTCCGAAACGGTTATTCTCGTATATAAAAAGGCGAACTAAGAGAAGTGATGGAATTCCATCACTTTTGATACGAGAAAATCCGTTAATCTTAGCAGAGAATGATGCCGAAAAAGCTGAAGCTTTATCGGAATACTTTAGTAAAGTGTTTTCTATCGGTAATGAGGAACGACCAATGATTCGTCGCGACCGTGACGGCTCGCTGATGGATCCTGTAGTCATTGAGAAAGATACTGTTTTAAGGCTACTCCAGCATCTCAAACCTGATAAGTCCAGTGGTCCTGACGATATTCATCCTAGGATTATGAAAGCCATATCAGATGAAATTGCTGAACCATTAGCGATACTATTCGACATGTCTCTGAGACAGTCCAGACTTCCTAGAGACTGGAAAGACGCCATAATAAGTCCGGTGTATAAGGCTGGGGGTAGGGATTTAGTTAGTAACTATAGACCCGTTAGCTTAACTAGTGCAGTTGTAAAACTGATGGAGAAAATCATTCGGATAGCTGTTATAAACTATGTTGAAGGGCAAAATCTTTTCTCCAGGGAACAACATGGTTTTCGGAAAGGCCTATCTTGCTTGACAAATCTTCTCATTGCACGAGAAGATTGGGCTGCGGCAAAGGATCGGAATGCTCCTGTGGATGTGATTTTCATAGATCTAAGTAAAGCCTTTGATAAGGTTTCCCACTCTGGTCTTAAATTCAAACTGAAACGTTTTGGAATCCATTATACAGTCGTCGATTGGATAAGTAACTTTCTCCATGACAGGAGACAAAGGGTAAGGGTTAATGGGGCTCTCTCCTCGTGGGTACCTGTAAAAAGTGGGGTTCCCCAAGGTACAATCCTGGGTCCTCTTCTCTTTTTACTTTATGTAAATGAATTGCCAACTGTAGCAAAATCATCCGTTCTACTCTTCGCTGATGACATAAAGATTTGGAGACCCATACATAGCATGTCGGATAGGATAGTATTACAGGACGATCTTAGCTCATTGGTGGCATGGTTAGATAGGTGGTCACTAGAAGTAAATCCTAATAAGAGTGTAGTGATGCAGTTAAATAACTCTGATGAATCGTATGACTATACACTACGTGGATTC